AAGACTCAGCCTGATTGCAGCTCTCTGCTGCTGCGAGTTCGGCCATCTTAAATAAGGTTGGACCATTATGGCCCGCCACGTGGTCATGCTCTATGAATCCAAATAATGTCCCTCCAGACTGGAATCTCTGATTAGCAGGCTAGCGCAAAATCCTGTGGGGTAGTGGCAGCCATGTTGGAATAGCAGGGGGGAGGGGAGCAGCTCACTCACCGCTGCTGCTAGAGAAGAAATGGCGCAAACCAACAAAACAGCTCTTCAGTGCCAGAAGACTCCCTGAGGTCCTCGGAGTGTGACCGACGGATCGGACAGTGACTCTGGAGCAGCCCTAATTGTTTGGGTGGTGGCAGTCGTGTGGGAGGACCGGGGAGACTAGTGTACAACCCGGCAGCACAAACAAAAGAGACAGGCCCTCACAGCGATCAAAAGGAGGGAGAGAATGGTCCGAGAGAGGCGAGCCAACCCTCCAAGCACCGTAATCCCAGCCACGGTCCTCGGAGTATGGTCTGAGTGATCGGACAGTGACTCTGGATCTGCCTGTGGTGTCCCTGAGTCTGGTGGTGGCGGTTCTTGCCGGAGGACCGGGGAAACCAGCGCACTCACCAGCAGCTTGAGGAAGATCGAAGCAAGCCGTGTGGTGAACGAAGCTTCCTCTGAAGTTGCTTGCTCCTTTAAAATCTCTAGAATCCAAACTGCTAAGAGAATCCAAGCAGGAAACATTCTTCTGCTCAATCGTTGTAAAAAGATTTTGTACACGTCTCTCTAGGCTAGACTGAGTTGAAAAACTGGGCTCAGCTGAGCGTAAGAGGCATGGCCAAAGCTTTTACAACTCAGTCTCTGGGCAGATAGACAGAAGTTAACCCATGCTTGGATTCTCCAAGCAGTGCACAGGCGAACTCTCCATAACTCTCCATGACTGGCTGCCGGGTGCTTTTCACTCTGGGTCACGAGGTGATGGGTGTGGGCGCGCACGGGGTGGCGGGGGTAGCCTAAATAGCACATACAGGTTTGTGCTATTACACAAACCTACATGTATTACACATGACGGTTTGTTGGAGCTAATATCTGGTGCTTCCCACCACCTTTCATACTGTATGTGATATTTAGGCTACACCCCCCCCCCCTTGCATGCGCACACCCATCACCTCGTGACCCAGAGTGAAAACCACACAGCAGTCAATCATGAAGAGTTATGGAGAGGTCACAGTGAAAACCACCGTTTCTGGGTTTGGTTGTTTTCCTTCTCCTTAGGAACAGGACACCCTAAATTTATAATCTTTAAAATTCTTTAATAATTTACAGCCTTGTGGTTTCCAATTACATTATCTTCCCAATTGTCCAAATTTTAAAGTCTTATTTAACTCCTCTTTTCTCTCTTATTCTATCACCTTTCTTCTTTCATCTTGTAGAATGTTCTGTCAAATAGTGTTAATAATCCAAACCAAATTAATCCACTAGGTTTCTTTCAAATCCATAATCCAACAGCCAGTTTTAATAAGGTTTAGTTATTTGCAATTTAGTTCATCTTAGAAATCTTTAAAAGGAAACAAAATCTCATTAAGTATTTTCAAAATATCCAAGTCGTCTTCTAGCATAGAGTCAAGGTCAGGCTGCCTTCTAGATGTTACTTCTATTCTGTGTATTAGACTTTATGTGTATTGGACTCACTTTCACTAAAAGTACTGACGCTGTAGTGTTGTAGTGCTTCTCTTCCTCCAGTAGACGGCTCTCCTGCTCCCAAGTCCAAGATTAAATGGTCTGTCAAAAACAGCTGATTATCCGATAAATCCAGGGGTTTTAGAAATACAAATAAGCGAAACAATTTCTCCCGAAAATCACCTTTCAAATTATTTAAGCTTTTTTCCAGGTTTCTGTATTTTAAGGTTCCCTTGGGCATTTCTTTCGTCTCTTAATTTTCAGTCTTTAATCTCCATGTGTCTAGTCGCTGCTTCCTTAACGCTTGGAAATTATCTTTTAAAATTCTTGTACTTAAATTAAGTCTTTAGAGTAAGAGTTGGAAGTTATTTCACACAGTTTCAATGCTCTGTTCATGAACCGCTTCAGCATAAATCTTGTGGTCCCAGTTGTCCCAGCTTGTAACTGCCAAAAATGGCTGTTGTCCCTGCTGTCGTTTGGGAGAGCTTGCTTTGGACCGAACGAGGAAATTGAAAGTTCCTCGTGGTCAGCAAAGCGCCTCTCCTTCCTTTGCCACCCCTCCAAGGTGGCTATGACCCCATAGGGATCTCCCGACAGTGATTACCGGCTGGATTTTGCAGGGCTCGATGGAGCCCGCTAATTTCCAAGCCATTCTCACCACATCATCAACCGGAAGTTCCCAATGGCCATCAGTTGAACTACCTGTTATGATTTGAAACATAACCGCAATGTAATGAAACACAAAAAGAGAATTTTGATACCACACCATATTTTTTCAACAGAAATTTCCCAAGAAAATGCCTGTTTTCCCATTATAAGGAATTGTGCAGCTCCAAACTTGAGGGTGCTCAGAATACATCAACGTGTAAGTTAAGATTTATCAAATACATTTGCTGCCTTTTGACTGCAATAGTTCCTAGTATACTCTCCTGCATAACACAGCAAGCAAAATCTAATATACATAGCCCTCAATTTCCGACTGTAATGGAGCCCCAAATTTCTGTCCTATGTCATGATGGTTGTGAGGCACCCACATCAGCAACTTGATTTCATAACATTTTTTGCAAGGTTTGTTAAGCAAACTTGGTGGTCATAAAGCAGTCCCATTGTTTGCAAAGGACATTTTTTGTCAGAAATTAGAATACTGGAACTGTTGGAACTGGCAGTCACAGGGTAGCTAAAAATTGATGATTTCTTTTATTTAAATCAGATTTTTTTTATTTTCATCAAATTTATTTTAATAAAATGCTTTTGGAGTAAAAATGTATACAAAAATAGTTTTCTATTGAAGACACAGTAATAGTTTAGTTTATTCAGCATGAAATGGAGCTTAGTTATGTAGCATGAGGCTGTGTATTCTGCAATATTGGGACTGTCGCTGAGTCAACAGCGAGTCAGAGGAGACGCTGCGGGACAGAGATGACAGTTGCTCTTTAAAAATTATGATTTAAATCAAGTTGATTTAAATCAAGCCTTTTTACCAGTGATTTAAATCAAATCCACCCTGCAGTCATGACTGCGGGACTGTGGAAACGGTTGTAAATGTGGGCTGGTTACCAGGCAGGCACCCAAAATGAAATCATGTGACAATAGGAAGAGGGAGGGTGGCCATCAAAAATTCGAATCTGGGACATACTTTTTTGGGGGGGATCTGTCATAACTTTGAATGGTCACTAAGTGATCAGTTGTAAGTTGAGGACTTATCGTGTATGGGATACAGAAACAAACTGCATCTAACTTTAGTTTTAGGAAGATATGGTAATCAAGTACTTCCTTCCTTAGCAAGTTTATACAAATGCTGTTTCCATATTCACATTTTTAAAAAAAAATTCAGCTGTACCTGATTGAGCTGAGAATTCCACTTGCTTTTCAGACTGTACTTCCAGGGTTTCGCTTTCCAGGGGAAGACTACTCCTGAAAAGAAAAGGTCAATCCAGGGCAGNCAGTAGGTTTCACACTTAATGTCCAAATCTCACTTTACGTCTGCTTTACAGAAAGGAATTACAGCCAGCTGGATAAGGAGGCTCTAGCAGCTGTAGCTGGAATCAAACGATTCCATGATTATGTTTATGGCTGGTTTTTCCATGTAGTGACTAACCATAAACCTCTCTTGGGATTGCTGGCAAGCAATCGCCAAAGCCCCCAAATTTTGTCCCCTTGCATGTCGAGGTGGACAGTGTTTTTAGCAGACTATAATTACTAACTGCAGTACCGACCAGGGAAAAATCTGGGGCACGCAGATGCCCTCAGCCGCTGCCCACTCCCAGCGGCAGTCATTGACCCCGCACCTGCAGCATCAGTCCTTTTAATCGAGGACCTGCCTACGCCAATCTCCGCAACGGACATTGCCAGGCACTCCACCACTGACCTTCTGTTATCCCAAGTCTTGGACTGGGTGCGCAGGGGGTGGCCACAAGGGCCAGTTCCTCCCGCATTTCAGCCCTACCACCGGAGACAGCATGAGCTGTCCGTGCAAAACGGGTGGCTGCTACAGGGACACTGGGTGGTAGCCCCTCAGAGCCTCAGAGGGCCAATTTTCATTGCCTGCACGATGCCCATCCTGACATCGTGTGCATGAAATCCCTAGGGCATAGCTATGTATGGTGGCCAAAAATGGACCAGGAAAGAGAGAACTGGGTTGCCAAGTGCCAACTGCCAGCAATCCCAGCTAGCTCCCCTGGCCGCCCCTGTCCAAGAGTGGGAGGTGCCCCGAGCCCCATGGTCAAGGTCCATCTGGACTTTGCTGGACCATTCATGGGGAAAACCTTTATGGTGTTAATGGACGCCTACTCAAAGTGGGTGGAATTGGCCCTCATGCCATCCACCACTTTGGAGGCGGTCATAAGGGTCCTGGGCAGGCTGTTTCCGACCCATGGGTTGCCAGACATCGTAGTGTCCGACAACAGGCCCCAGTTCACATCGGCACCCTTCCAGACGTTTCTTGCCAAGCATGGCATACGCCATGCCCCGACGGCCCCGTTCCACTCAGCTGCCAATGGCATGGCTGAACGGACAGTCCGATCGGCCAAAGAGGCATTAGGCCACCTGGGGCCCTTGAAATTGGCACAATAAACTGCCCCAATACCTTCTGGCGTAGCACTCAACCCCCTGCCTGGTCACCAAACAAAGCCCAGCTGAAAGGCTCATGGGTCGTCGGCTCATGACCAACCTGGACCGACTGCACCCCAGCTACAAATCAGAATAAGCCCCCGACAGAAGCAGCCCCACCAGAACTTTTGCTGCGGGAACCCCAGTGTATGCCCTCAATTACGGGGCTGACCCAAGGTGGCTGCCTGGTCACATTGTACAAATAACCGGACCCTACTCTTATAGGGTTGAACTCGGCGATGGTCAAATTTGGTGCCGACACATTAATCAGCACTGATGCGATCAACCAACGACCAGGGCAGGCCCAGTCCTACCCTGGAGAAACAACATCCCCAGCAGACATTCCAGCCCAGCCAGAGCCAATCCAGGCACCCACCACCTGGAATGTTCTCGACGCCAGACTTACTTGGAGAATCAGGCCTTCCAGCGACGCTCGAGTCTCCTTCGGTGCCATCTGTGCAGTCTCTGGTAGTTCAGGAGGACTCTCCACCAGCTCCTTCTTCGGCTGCCGCCCCAGAACTGAGATAATCAGGGCGGAGCCGACAGCAGCCAGTGTACCTATCTGATTACGCATGCGCCAACTGGGAGGAAAGGGGTGTTAAGTCCTCGGACTTATGACGCTGTCAAAAAGCATTGCCGGCTGCAGGACTCCCCTGATTGGCTAAGACACAAGCAGCCTTTCAGCGGGAAAATGCAGCCTTCTGATTGGTTCACCAATCTGACAGCTACTACATAAAGAGCTGTCAGACGTCCAATGTTTTTGTTGCCGCTTTGGGAGTTGCCTTGCACTTTGCACTGTTAGCTGTTACAATAAAGGTTGTTTGATACTGTGCAACCTGCCTCGCCTCAGTTCCTGCCTGCCTAGTTCTCCATACAGAGCAAAAAGTTTTAGAGCGCATCTGTTTTGACAGGAACTGTTAATTTAGGTTGTGAAAAATGGTACAAAATGTTACAACACCTCAAGCTCCTTATCAACACAGAACATGTTTGTTTGATTAGGACAAATTTCCATGGCACTGATTTTTTTTCCAGCAATAAAAATGTGGACTGGCTATCAGCATGAAGGACTATAAAACTGCCAATACTTGAAATATTTCCTGACAACAAATTCTCAGTGTGGACTTTATATACAGGTCATTCTCGACTTACAACAGTTCATTTAGTGATTGTTCAAAGTTACAACGGGACTGAAAAAAAGTGACATATGACATTTTTTCACAGTTACAACCTTTGTAGCATCGCCATGATCATGTGATCAAAATTCAGGTGCTTGGCAACGAGTTCATAGTTATGACCATTGCTGTGTCTCAAGATCATCACTTTTTGCGACCTGACAAGCAAAGTCAATGGGGAAGCCAGATTCACTTAACAACCTGGTAACTTATCAACTGCAATTATTCATTTAACAACTGTGGCAAGAACGGTGGTAAAATGGGGCAAAACTCACTTAACAAATGTCTCACTTAACAACAAATGTATTATTTCCACATAGATAGAGCATCATTTTAATAATTTAAGTTGCAGCTAAAGTTACATGGTTCAAAAGGGCTTATGTCTAGGTAAAAAATAGTGTTCTGCAGTTAAGCTGTTTGTTTTCATAGTCATATATATAGTTATAATTTTATACTATGTTATGTTTTGCTGATTTTGAAAGACATTTCCAAGTTATTAGAATATTATTTTATAAAATAGGTTATACATGGAAGATATGGTAGTTTTAGTCATTCAGTTTTGGGTATGTAATTTCTTGCACATGTCCAACTCACAATGAATATTTTTGCTCCATTTTTCAGGCCTATGTCTGTGGCCATTTTCTGAATTACAAAAGTGGCATTGTGGCTAGCACTGTGTTACAGGTTTCTTGAGGATGACTATATATGATTCCATTCTTCAGTAACCCATCTTTTTATCCAGAGGATATTTAAGTTGCTTAATTCAACTCCCCTAAACATATTCCAAGGACAAAAAATATTTAATACAATGTTATTCCAACAGAACGTTTGAGTTTGGTAGTCCTCAACTTACAACCATTCATTTAGCAATCATTCAAAGTTACAGTGGCGCTGAAAAAGTGACTTATGACCAGTCTTCACACTTATAGCCATTGCAACATTCCCAGGGGTCACATGATCAAAAGTCAGGTGCTTGGCAATGGGCATGTATTTGCAACAGTTGCAGTGTCCCAGGATCATGTGCTCACCATTTGCGATCTTCCCACTCAGCTTCCCACATGCAAAGACATATTATCTTAATAATGGCAGTGATTCACTTAACTGTGACAAAAGAAGGTTGTAAAATAAGGTGTGACTCACTTAACCACGTTGCTTAACAGAACTTCTGGCCCTAATTGTGGTCATAAGTCAAAGACTACTTGAATTTTTATTGTGAACGTAATTAATGCGTGTGAAAACTTTTTCTACAGATTATACAATAACTAGCAGCTAAATCCAAAGTCTGCACAATGCAAAAGCTGTGGCAGGAAAAAACTGATGCAACAGAAAAGGACAACCTTAACTGCTTTGCTTGGTACTTCTATCTAAGCATATGCAGAAACAAATTCCTTCAATTTTGAACTATTTAATTTTCTTTGATGAATATTTTAGCATGATTCTGAATATTATCTAAAAATCTGTTAGATACATGAATCAGTTTGAAACCACTGGATGTAATTGTGGCTCCAAATGGGACTAACCTTATCCATGTACATATTTATTTGAAAATGGATAGCCATCTATCAAATAAAGCTACATTTTCTCCTGCTGAAGCATGTTTTTCTCCATTAAACCCTATTGCTCGATTCACTTGCCACAATATTGTCATTATTACTCTTGACAACAGAGATGTCACCAGGCTACAAAGTGGGACACTGTGAGTTCTGGTCCTGCCTTAGCCATGAAAGCTGGCTGGGTAACCTCATACGCTTAGTTCAATTGAATTGTGGGGAAAAGAGGAAGAAAGTGCATTGGATATGTTCGCTACCTTGAGTCGTGTAAAAATAATACAGGCAGGATATAAATAAATGAAATAAACCCTTAATCCTGTGTTTAATATTATTTAAATTCAAAGTGACTGGGGTTTTTTTTGGACATTTTAATGTATTTTTATTCCAATCTCAAAAAAGACCTGTAAGAAGCTACACCAAATGGATATTTGTTTTATTTAATGAGAATTCTGTGTAGAAGTTCTTCGTATTAAATATTTCTGATTTTTTTTAATACACTAGAGTTAAATCCACTGATCCCAATGGCACTTAAATGGAAATGCATAGGACTATACTTGATATTTTGGATGTTTTGATTCAGAAAGATGCAAAATATGGTGTTGGAAGAAATGTCCTTCTGGGTTCAGTTCCAAGTGGGGGAAAAGACACTGGAAACATGGAAGCTTCTTGGAAAGATGGTTTTAATGGTGGACAGGACCACATGGTTTGAGGTCCTGGGGGAAAAGGTGATCACATGCTTCCAGATGTTGGGTGAAGAAGAAAAGAGGCCGAGATGCTAAAAGTCCCTGGTTTTATGTCCTCTCTGGCCTTTGATCTTGAGTTTGTATTCGGATTGGTTGTCAGACTCCCATGGGCCCATGCAGGGGCATCTCTGTAGGCTGTGCTTTGAGTCCAAGTTTGGTTGCCTTGCTGGTTGATGTAATTTCCCCAGGTGCCTTGTGAGTTGCTGTAGAAGGCTAATCCTACCTTTGTTATATAGAATAGACTAGCTCAGGCTTTAATGGCTCATTGACAAAGGTGGGGGCTGCTGAGTTTCTGCCTCTCTTGAGTTTCTACTTCTCTTTTTAGGGGAAATATTCTGCCTTTTTAATATTTCCTAGGATAAGAATTTCATTCTTCTAGGAGAGGGGTGGGTGCTAACTTCCTACAATGGTTATTCAGATACATTTGATGATTGAGATCTGATCTTCTAGAACTAGAAGCTTTTCAATAAGAAATTTATTATAGCTTGTATTTGAACTTGCACCAATTGGCCCACTTCAGACAGACTACAAAACGTTTGGTAAACAATGCATAAGAATTATGAAGATTATAGGAAAATAAGAATTTGTGTGTTGGAGTATTTGTATGCCTACTACTGGAACTGTCGGCTCAGAATATTAAATGTTGCAGTTTATTTTAATGTGTTAATACAAGTAATTTTGTACGATATTAGGGGTGCTTGTATGTTTTCCATTTCACTTTTTAAAATAAATTTATAAATTTTGTGCACATGTGTGTGTTTGTGTGTGTGTGTGTGTGTGTATGTTTTCGTAGATTTTCATGGGTACAGGTATGCAGGTCTTGGCGTATTCGGGTTTTTTCCCATGTAAAATTGAGAGTATCTTGGCAACGTTTCGATGAGGTCCCACTCGCCATCTTCAGGCTGGTGCCTTCGGCTTCATGCTTGTGCAAGCAAAGTGTGATTGGAGCTGCCGTCTTTCTATAAATATTGGTGGGGGTGTGTGGAGTGCTGGCTTTGTTGCGTGTGTTGTAACATCTTGATTAATTGATGGAGTTGAAGTTTGCAGATTAGTTGGCTGTTTCGTAACATCCTGTGTGGCTGAGATACTGGCTGTGTGCCTATTGTTCTTTTGTGTTGTAACGACCTGGGTAATGGGCTGTGTGATGCAGTGACATGCGGTGAAGTTTATGGCTGGTGAGGCAGTCCTCTCCCCCGGCACCCCACTGATTAAAGCGCTTTCTTTCACCCTCAGCAGAGCTTTCAAGAGGCAAAAGCCGCCCTGCCGCCCCGCCTCTATGTCGGACATAGCGCCGGGGCGGCAGGGCGGTATTTGCCCACTTTCAAGAAAGCTTTCTTGAAAGCAGGCAAAAGCCGCCCTGCAGCCCCGGTGCTATGTCC